TAACTTTCAGGCACAAACTAGAAGAAACAGAAGCTGATAAAAGCATTGAATTTGTCACCGAATTACTGATAGATTAGGATTTCCTCATATATTAATGGAAATGTGAAACGAGAGAGGTCTCAAAATTGATCCCTGAACAACAACTCGAGCATCAACTCGGGCACTTCGATCGCTATCACATCGTCTTTGATAATGCTTACCGCAGTAGTAGACGAAACGTCAGTCATAAAAACCTGCAGATCACGGCCAGAAAACCTGGAAAATAGCTTTCACACAACCACAAGCAACTTATAATTACACTTTACGTGTTAGGAATCACACGTTGAAAGGCAAGACCTCGTTAATCCTTAGCTCGCACAAGTTTTGACTTCTGAGGGTTGTCGTTCGTAGGGGTGCGACAGCTGGTTAACGGAAAAACAGATTTTTTTAAACAGACTAACGAATAGTTTTGAGCTTACTGTTTGGATGGCGGTGAATATTATAAGTATCTATACCGTAAAATGCAAATGGAAACTCCTGTTTCCAAACAATATAGCATTTCAATGGTGTAAAAAACTTTGTTTCTCAAATGAGATATCAATAGTTATTGATGGAAAACTATTTCTTTAATGAGACACCTTGTATATTCCTGAATATTTCAATAGAGCTTAAAATTATCTTTCCGAACATGTAGCACACTTGATATTCTGCTAGAGTCATCTTTGAACTAGCTTTTAGGTTTTTTCATGTAGACTTTGAAACGCACACTTACATCAAGAAGAATGCAAATATTTACTGGTAGCTGTAAAATTTTTATTTAAGCATAAAGACGCTCTTCAATGGGGAATGTTCCTCAATTTGGGTTATTACAGCAAATGCAAGTTTGAACAAAATAAAGTAGAGTTTAATTCAAGAGTTTTTCAAATTCACTTCGAAAAGTATTCAAATTGATGTTTCAAATGTTGGGTTTTAATTTTTGAAGGGATTTGTTTCTGATTCACATATTGGCAACAACGCCTATATCATGTTGAAATAATTTATACGTACCTAGATATTCTACTTCAAAAAAGGAAAATTATCTTCATAAATCAATAATTAGGGCAAAATATAAATTATAGATCAATACCACCTCCACAAGTCACATAAACAACAGTTGTTTTGTTATTTATTTATATAGAGGAATATAGATTAGGTGCACAAAATGTCATATGTCACAGAATGTCTCGGAACTCGGAACATAAGTAAACAGAACAGCACTCCTGTGAAATATGTCATCTTTGTTTGTCTCATACAGGTAACAGATTCATTGTCCTTTATTAGCTATAACCGATGTTGCCAAATGGTGAAATAGAAACGAATCCCTTTAAATGTTGAATGTATTATTTCATTCCTCTTTTTTAAGTATTTAAATAATTTTTTAAAGAAAAAGGTTGAAATGATAAGTTTAAAATGCGTTGTTTTATGCTTTCATGAAAACTACTTGATTTTCGTCAGGAGGAACATTCTTCATTAGTGGTTTTTGTTCAATTTTCAAACGAATTCGCAATGGAGTATGAAAATTATGAAAAATGGGATATGATAGTATGTTTTATGCAAACCGGGGAAAATGCAGAAGCAGCAAGCAATTTGTATCACGGGAGGTACCTAGAAAGAAGACAACCTTTTATATAGACATTTTCCCAAGATTACGACACAATCTAATTGATGGCGGTCAATTTGAAAAGAAAAGCCCAAAATTATTTGAATCAAATAGGGATAACGAGTTGGAAGAAATAGTCGTTTTAGGAACCATTGAAAATAATGCCAAAACGTCAACGCCTTTGTCTCACAACACTGCAATTGTCACCAATTTTTTGGCTGATTGTATAGCCAACCAAGGACCCAACCATTGACCGTCCAGGTCACCGGACCTAACGCCTATGGATTTTTACCTCTAGGGAAGTTCGAAAGATCTTATTCTTGAACTGTCCAACAACAATTCTAGATATAAAATGGAAGCGGCAGTGATGCAAAGTGTTGCTTCTCTCACTCTTATAGAACTCATAAATTCTGCAAAAACGTTAAGAAAAGGTATTATTACCCTTGTGTAGGAGAAGCTGGTAAATATTTCGAACACCTCTGAAGAAATATACTTCAATATTTGTTCTTTATAATTATTATTGTTGAAGTTTCTTATATAAGTAGTAAATATAGTGTAAATTGCTATCAGTTTTATTGAAACTTTTATTGAAGCTTTCTCAACATTTGATAGCTATTACTGAATTTTTTTTTCTATTTTATCGCCGCGTCGTCCAAAGCCTATTCGATCAAAGTGTGCGTTTCAAAGTCTACATGAAAATGCCTAAAATATCTGTATTTCAAAGATGACTCTAGCAAAACATCAAGTGTGCTTCTATTTTTAAAAGGTAAAGTTACACCATGTGGAAAGGTCTACATAGGAACAAAAAATTTTTGACAGGAAAAAAGTTACAGCAAGTTTTCGAAAATGCACATTTTGGTCCACTCTGTACGAGAGCTTCTCAACACCAAGCACTATATTTTTTTGATAGTTGAGACAAAACTCTGCATCTGCTCTGGATAAGGATAAACCTAGACTGAATTATGCGAAATTCTATTTTTGAAATTATTTCGAAACCACATCTGCGGATTATCAATTTTTATTCCAGGTATAGAAACATAAAGAACTGTCTTCCAAAAATAGAATTAACAGCAACTTCCTGTCATAGTTCACCTCTCCAATCAATTTTCCACCTAGGCACATCATGCGTGGGAAGAATTGACAAACGATCTATTTCCAGGTCCAGACTCGGTTTCATATCGCGATGAAATAGTCCTTTGAGGGTGGAAACTTCAGCGAAAAAACTTTCATTGGCGGCACTAAAATACAACAGATGCTGCAAAAAAGCTTGAAAGCCGCTCGTAATAAAAGAAAAGTCATTTGTCAGAGAGAAAAGCATGTTTGTCAACATTCGCTTGTTAATAAATTTGAATCTCTGAGTGATGTCCTTCTCTCCAACCGGACGAAAGTCTGTAAAAGGGGCTACGTCAATAACTTTTCGGAGGTGGGGAATAAAAGTACCTATTCACAGGAGCGGACAATTTGATATCACGATAGCTTGTGTCAGACGGAAATTCTTCAAAGTTATTACAATTTTTATGAAACTGTGACTTTTATTTGGAAGTTGAGAGTTCCCGGGATTTTATTAACTCCGTGTGGTCTGTCACGAATGTAGACGAGTTGGAAATACTTTGTGATAACTCCAAAACAATTTATAGAAATCATTAGTTTCGGCGGCATTGTTTTTGATCCGTTGATCAAAGCAAGTTTCGCTCTGGAAGACGTACGAAACACATAGAGACGGACAGGTCTCCACTAGTTTCCACTGGAAAGATTAGAAAATCTACTTGACAAACACAGTAGGGATGTATCCGTGTTAGGAATCACACGATAAAAGGTAGGACCTCGTTAGTTCTTAGCTCGCACAATTGTCTCAACTTCTGAGAGTCGTCGTCCGTATGGGGGAGGCAACTGATTAACGGAGAAACAGATATTAAACAGATCTCTAGCTAACAGACCACCGGATTGGCAAAATGCATACAGGTCAGGCATGTCCATGACACGGCTTTTCGACAGGTTACAGAAAGAGCAGAATGTGCCTACGAGAGAAAAGGGTACCTTTGGTTTCCTATAGAGGGCTCGTTCGACAAGAGTCGAATCAATCTAACGATTATGGACATACAGGATTGCTTACTTTTGCGATTTTGTTAGACACATCACGTGATCTCGTGACGTAACAGCGGTGACTCTGGATTGATTCGGTACTGCACTTTTAATTAAAATAAACAAATTTCATGTAAATTCCTTATTAATTCCTAAGTGAAAATTTTTCTTTTGTGGATGATAGGGCGAGCTATTTGCCCTTTTTAAAAGTAAGAGGTTTCATCAGTTTTTTATTATTTTCGTGAAAACTGTAACTCCCACAAAAATTTTGTAATGAACTTTGTTTTAGATAATAGTATTATCTAAAAATTTTGTTCATAGTTTTTTGTTCCATCTTTCATAATAAAAATATATTAGTAATAAATTGTTTATTAACAACTTTTTTTATTTATCTGACAGAAAATACACGATACGGTTTTCATTTTTCATCAAGAAAATGAGAAATTCAGATAGAATAATTTAACTTGAATTTTGTTCCATAAATGATAAAATTGATAAATCTACAATTCAATATATAATAATACCACATTAGAGTAAAAAGGAACTACTAAATATATTCCAATAATTTTTTTTGCTTGAATGTAGAAAAATAAATCTAAAGGACTAATTATTACCTACTTTATTTAATTTTCCATTTATTTTTCTATTATCAGAATTGTTTGAATTTTTTCTTTTGAGTAAACTATTATCGTCGGCCTTTAAGTTATCATATTTCATTCTGATAATTGTTCTTAGTTTGCAAAAGAGTTTTTACAGCTCCTGGCTCTTTTCTTAATCCATTTGAATGATGTTTTTCGAAAAGCTTGTTCTACTTTTTAATTTTTTGTAACCAATTATCTGTGGGTTCAATAAAACCTCCCAATAAAATTTGCTGGACCCAAGAAGATATACTGTAATTATGATCTTCTGCTTTTATTTTCTAAGTATAATCGCTCAAGCCAGGTAGATCATTTGTATGCTTTTTAGCAAAGTATCCAGCGATATATTCTAAAGAGTCCTCTGTTGTTTCTGGAATATTTGTATTTGAAATTGAAGCAATGTTAGTAGAAATATCAGAACTACTAGATGAAAATGAGCTACTGCAATTTGATCCTATTGTCTGTCCGAAATAATCCTTAAAAAATGTTAAAATAAGATAGTCTTATGGCAGCTACTAAAAGTGTCACCAGTGTTACGTCACATCTGCTCGGCGCTTGTTTAACGTGGCCATATATGTAAGTGAGCAATCCTGTATGTCCATAATCGTTGGAATCAATCGTCGTGATCTCGAGAAGAAGAAGAAATGAAGTTACAAAAAATTAGTGCGAACGAACGAAACATATGTTTTTAAATAAAGTGAACTCTTTTATAAGACTTCAATCTTGTTACCTAAACCCTCTCCTCATCCCAGTTGCAGAGTGGACCAAGAATAAACAACATCAATAACGTCCTAATCGAATCGAAGTAATCCAAACTCTGATAAACTCATCAGTAAAAGTAATTGTATGATTTCCCTCTTGTTTCCATTTCAGGGAGAATGGGAGAAATGACGCGTTGAGGCAATTGCACTAATTTCTCCAGAGTCTGACAAGTAATTGACTAGAAGCCAATCTATGATCCCGACGTGATCGATTGACGATCCAGTGGCGTATCAACGGGTTCTCCCACATTGGACTTGGGTACAAATAAAGGGTTTTTATAACAAAATACTTCACTAAATTTTGTTCTTCTTATAGATCTACATAAGAATCAGTGATGATCATTATAATTACCCGGAAAAAAACATCATGAAAGTTGATTTGATTGAGATTTATGCAAATGAGGATTTCATGGGAGGTAATTTTTTGAATTTATTTCAAAATGTTGCCAGCATTGACTTTTCATCGATTTGTTATTGTTGTGGGTATCATTTGCGTGGCATTATTATTATCTTTAAATAAATCACTGCAGTAAATTTAATCAGTCTGTTTTGATAATCAATCAAACATACAGTTATCAATGTTTTTACATTAAATGTTTTGTTTGAGGCTCTTTACTCGTAGAAGTTTGTGATTTTCATACTTTTACTAATTTTTTTATGCAAATAACTTCGATTTAGAAGTTTTTATATTGCCGGTACAATCAAAACACCGACAAACTTTTTTTGGTGCAAAACTGTGTCATTTTTATATTTGTCAATGAACTAATAAGAAAAACATTTTTAAAAATTTCATTTACATGGACTCTTAGCGAAAAATCTAAAAATTAAACTTTGTATTTGCTTGTAACAAAACACAAGCACTACACAAAAATGTGAAGGAATATTTTTCAGTGTCTAAGCCATTCTTTGATAGAAATTTGATTAACTACAAAAATACAATCTTCTTAAATTAGCACATCACACATCAGACCAAAACAGTGGATTTTCCGCCATTGTGTCATGATATACTATTTTGTGAATTGAGGGAAATACTCAGACGAAAAACAAGTAAAACACCGATACTTCGATAGCCCAGCATCCCTGTAACTCTGCGTTCTGTGCATAATTCCACATAATATTGTTCGCAGTAAGTAAACAATGTTCCGCCGAAACGGATGAGAGAAAAAGAATTGCGAATAGCCACCAATAATGAATGCAAATGTGGAAAAAGTCGGAGACAATTTTCCATTATCCAGAATGACTGGGTCGTTGAAGCGAGTTCGTGGGAAAGGATACTTTATTTTCTGACAAAATGCCGATAGCTTCGATTACCAAGCTCGTGCGTTAGGATGGTTAGGACATTTGTAAACATCTTTTGAGTTATTTTTTTGCCCTAAGTCAGTTCACTGAACTCTTTTGACAAACGAGTATAAATTATCATCATACTTTATCATATCGTTCTAAAATGTGGAAAATTTTTAAAGGCAGGAAGAAAACCATAACCTTTCATTTTCAAACACTAATCTATTCTAATAAGATATAAAAGATATAAGATAAGATTAGATATAAAAAATGACTACATTAGAATGTCTCTAATGCAGTTGTTGGATTATTTTTCGTTGCACTCGTCATACTCAAATACGTATACATGTCCATGCAACCTACTTAGTTTGTTAACAGATCATAGATGTATATGTTATCATGGGTTTATTCATCATGGTGTAACGCATATGCATCATGATTGATTTCAGCCCCATGGGTTTCCGTTGATGCATTTGGTAGCATCCCTTCTACCTCTGCCTTCCTTTTCACCTTTTTTAATGTTGGTTCCAGGACAGTTCATGATCTAGTATCACTCCCAGATATTTGACCATCCTCGACAGATATATCTCTTCACCTCAACGTGTTAGAGGTTCTAGGACCTCTGTTTTCGTCCTCTTTCGTTCTCTGGTTATAATATTCATGATACGTTGTTATTGATATTTGATATTTGCTCTGAGCTACGATAATTAGGTCGTCTGCATATTTTGTGTAAATTATGGTCCAGGAGACATTGCAGCTCTTCCATTACAAAGTTCCATAACAGTGGAACACCATCCTCTAAGGACATCCCCTTGCTAGCAGTGCCACTTCTGTTTTTCCCATAATAGTTGTGTATAACAATCTTATTCTAAGCATATAGTCTATCGATCTGCAACTAGTGCTGTCAGCTGTCACTCTATCTTCTGCTATGCTTTGATGATCGATTTTAGGGAGTAGTCATAGGGCAGTAGTTATTTTCCGGCAGGCATTTCGCAGAGGTAGAAATATCGAGAAAGCTGAATGCTTTTCTTTTTTCGAAAGAACCTTTGTTTTTTCTTTTCTGATTCTCCCAGTCCATTTTCACAGCTTCATGACTTTGATGTCGTTGTGTTGTGATTGGTCTATGATATTCATACCCAGATAAGGAACTTGTCTTAGGAAGAAATCACATGGGACCCAATCAGGAAAGTAGGATGGCCGTGGTGCGGTATGTTCTGCAGTAAGTACCTACTGTATGTACAAAAAAACAAATTTGCAACACTTTTTTGAAGCTATCTGTATATCAATTCTCTTTCGAGTTCAATATTGTATACCGACATCCGGTTCTATAAATCTTCACCAACTGGAAATCCGATAAAGTGAATATCGCATCAACAAATCACCGGGAGAAAAAAATATTTTCGTTCGTAAAACATCCCGAATAAAATATTTGTTTTTCTGTGATATGCAAAAAAAAATGTCATGAGTGGAAATGTAGAAAATCCCTCTTTCCCGAATGGCTCGACGACCTGACTCGAGATCCAATTTCCTGTCATCTGAAACGGGAGGAATTCGTTTAGCGTTGAATTTTCGATAAATATACATTCCAACCGGCATCGCACTTCACAGATTTATTAGGCCCTGTTTATGTTATTAGCAAATGGTGTCTGTGTTGTTGAGATGGATTCAGTCAAGGCATTAATGTCCATGAAAACATGAGTGTCTTTTTCGATTTTTCCCCACATAGGTAACCTTTAGAAATTATATTGAAAGCTACCCGGTAAACATTTTTTCTGTGTTTTTCGTTTCAAAAATGATGGAGAACATTATAATGACGATTCCATGATAGTTTTTTTGACGGTAATGCCCAATTTCCAATGTTGTGAAAATATAACATGACGTGAATCATATTTACGTCTCATAAAGTAGGTACATACTTACTGTGATGGAAATTTTCAGTATTAACGCAAAAATATTTATGAGAAAAAACCCTATAAAATGTGGACTCTCAGAGGACTATTGCCACAAGATGGTCTTTTGAACCTCGGGGATAATAAAGATTTTTGAACTAAATTTTTCAATTGTTCAACTATTTGATCTCATAAAGAAAATCAGTAGACTTTGATGGCCTGCAAACTTTTCATGAATGAAAGTCTCGTTCTTTCTTTGTATTTCGATAGATTTTTCCATTTCCAATTCTCACATAGATTGATCGAAACTGGTATGTGAAAATGTCTTGCCATGTGCTAGAATCCGAGTGAACTATTGCTACAAGATGGCACTGCAAAACTCAGGGATAACAAATGATTTTTTTGGAGGACTATCTAGTTTTTTCATTTGCTCATTTGTATTTGATCTGATGGAAAAAATGAGTGAACTTTTTTATGCTAAACGACCTTGAAAATCATATCTCTTCCTGGCATTTTGAACGAGTTTCTTATTACTATTTCTCACACAGATTAAAAACTGGTGCCTGAATATTTCTTGCCACTGCTGGAATTCGAAGTTAAATCACTTTTTCCAGTTTTATGAGGACGGGCTTGCGGGAGAGTAAGGAAGTACTTCCACAAAGATTACAGCGGCTTAAGACTAAAAGTTTTAGCGGTGGTCTCAGTGAATGTATTTATAAACAACCTAAGGAAGAAATTTCAGGCCTAAATTTCCATTTGAAACATATCGAAGTTACACTGATAATAGCAAGGATTTCAATTTGAAATGAAAAGTTGGGTCTACGAAATGAAAAGTTGGGTCTACGAAATTTGGAAAAAGTGTAACAAACCGTATCAATAATATATTACCCAATAGATTAACCAAAAATACATTCTGATGCCTTAAAACTGAGGTCAAGCTATGACGTATGTTCTGGTGAGATCGTTTTTTAGTTTTTGGTACAGTGCAGTATAGTATGCACTATATTACTACTATAATGATTATTCTCTACATTCACAACGTCACCAGAAATACAGAAACAGCTCCGCTTCATTATTTTCGCCAACGGAACTTTCACAAGAGATATATCGAGATACATTTCGTCAATGTAACACAAAATATCATTTTGTTATTTTCTTTGTTTTCCTCGAGTTTTGCAGCGCCACCGTACGGCAGTGGCTCTCTAGAATAATGCAATCGTGACAACTTCCACGAAGATATCGTTTTCCAAGAGAACCCATAAATTAATATGTCATCCGCTTTGAGTAATACCGCAGTATTTTACGATTCTGCACGTTAACATCAACAAATATTCAAATGGCGCGATTAAAAGTATGCAGAACAAAACTTCGCAGGTTTTACGACCCTCATTCGCATCGTAAATATTTATCGGGGAGACCACTAAATCAAAGTAAATAATTGCTAAGTAAATATATAGACCGTTCAAGAAAGTGATGTATATCGGTAGCCCGTTTATTTTTGTTATTGGCTGGATATTGTGGGAACGGCCGGGAATATGCGTTACTAAAAACATGAACATTCGATGTTTGCTTGTTTTCACAGGTGATTCCTGGCTATGGAAGTCGATATCTTGAACGGAGTGGTTTTATAATTATTAGTTCAAACTGTCGTTTAGTATAATCGGCGTTTCTAACTGTCTACTGTTACAAGAATAAACCGTTACTAAGATATCGGAAGCGTTTTAGCGGTATTCGTTGTCTGTATAGAATTTGTATTCTACTTTTTATTGCTATTAAGTCTGTATGACTGGCGTGATGGCCAGATACGCCACTGATTTATATCAGATACTTTTTAGATATGTGAAAACTGTTTACCAATGTGAGTGGTTACTACGGTTTACTGAAAAATACCAACACGCGAAGCCTCACATCGTAGGTACGTGGTTTATCCATTTGCCATGAAAGCCACAGAGACAGACAGCCCCAGTCCTCATCAAACAGTGCTCAACTCCAACGTCCTCTGGACTTCTCGGTCGGCATACCAGAAAAGCTACATTCATCGTGTTTGCCCGTCGTTGTGTAGATAGGACACTTTTCAGGGCTTCGGGGAGCCAGAATTTACATCAATGTCGAAGTAAATTAGGTCCCCAAGGTAGACGTTAGATTATTGATACACCGCTTGCAACCGGTGATAGCGAAGGATCCATGGTGTAAGCAAAGAGACGGGATTTGAAAAGTAAATTTGATTTCATTAAGTAATAATTCGAATACCCATATAGGCGATTTAAAAATGAGAGATTTATTCGTTAGATGGTTCAAAAACGAGTTAGGAAGAACATTTTATCTTCTTCATATCGTCGAAATAAATGGCGAATCTCAGAGAAGAAAATCTATAGGAGTTGAATCAGGCGAACGTGGTATAGCCAATTGTTTTATATTCCATTGTTATGAAGGTGATCTATATTGTTGACTCATATCTATAGTGTTACGAACCCCTAGTTCCAGTTACAAAACTCACTTTCATACCAACTTTACTGAGAAGGACATTGAAAATTTATTATATATGGGATTTCTATTTGGAAACTATACATAATAGTTATTTATGTATCAAGGGAATTAGGAGGGCCTTAATTACCGATGGCAAAGTTTGCGTCCCGAGGGCCTCTGGCCCGAGGGACAGCAATTGCCTGAGGTTATTANCCTCTTTATTGATAGCGTAACTATGACGATATAAGCTTATAATATCCCGGTCAGAAATAAATATGTCAAGACATGGATTAATGATCAATTATACTGGTTGTTTCAATCAATAATAATTAATATCAATTTTGGAAGTAGTTTGAGTCCTATTATCGACCTTACCTACGAGGTGAACATATGTTTGAGACAACTATGCCAACAAAAGAAACAAAAAAACTGCTAATCGAATGTACGTAGCCGGCGGAATTTTAACGTTCACTTTATTTTTTCAACGGACCTCGTAAAATCTTTCAATAAATTATTAAGTTCATTATAATCACGATCAAATTCGTGCCTTTCTGCCATAAATTTGCAAATTCTTTCACAGAAAGTTCTCCGCATTTGATCAATATAAATTTGGAACAAAATTCCTAATGAATTGGAAGATTAAATTTATTAACACTATTTCAATGTCGCTTTCCTTGCTTTCGAACTGATCCGCGAACTTGCACAAATTGTTCAATAGAAGTGTCATATGGATCTCCAAATTTGTTTTTTTTTCCTATTTAAATTCATGAATGAATTTTCACGAAATATGATTTCCAATTATCAAATTCCATGAGTTCCTGAAATAGAATAGTGCACCATACCGGTTCAATTTGTGTTTAATTTCGGGTTCTCTCTGTTCACAAACACAAACAACAATCTCTGTGCTTCGATCTAATTGCATGTAGCTCGAACAATGCAATTTCATCCAATGTATTTTGAAGCTCATCTAATGTGCGTTCGCAACCACTTCTCGTTCCCCTTGAAGAGTCCTTCAAGTTGCAATATTTGTGTCCGATTTCGAAGCAGACTTGATGATAATAATTGTTCTTCCTTTAGTCAGTTGCGTTTCCTGATTACATTATGTTGAAGATCATCACCTGTTTTGTTTAAAGTAAAGTAGTTTCTCAACTATCGGGAAGTAAATTTGTAATAGAGTATCGAAAAAATAACTTTGTCAGTGACAGATAAGTTTTCACCTCTCTCTCCCCCTCTATGTTAAAAGCTTTTGCTTCCATTGAGGCGCATTAAGCCAGAAGTTTTCACCTATTTCTTCAACTATTCTTGTTATAACTGATATATTGTATGTATCACCTACAATTCAAATTAATTGAATCAATCGTCTAAATTTGTATCATCAAAATTTACGAACTTTTTTGTAGAGAATTTTATGAGGAACAAAAATTTAACATCATATTTTATATCATTCTTAATGTTTTCCTAGATATTTAATTTGTATGTAACATACATGCACAATCATAAACAAAAATACAACAATTGACAACACTATTCAGCTTTGAATCGGGGGTTCTGTATTGTCAAATGAAGAGCTACCGAATGACGTGTATTTTTCAGTTTATTTCAAAGTAGGGTTCGTAGAGAAAAAGACAAGAGTTAATGTACTGCCTAAAATGTCCTCGCTAATCAAAGTACACTTTAGTTATACTTATTTCACTTTGTTTGACTAACTTATTATTAATTGATAACGTGTCATCCAAAAATGAGGTAAGCGGGACTTGAAATTTTCCAGTATATTTGACAAATATTACAAACCCAAAAGAAACGATTCATTTTTCATTTCAATATACTGCTTTCGATTTTGAATAATCTTTGAAAACCGATTCAGAGGTGAACTTCTTATCCCATATCGATATAAATATCAATTCATAATGCCATGATTGACACAGTTGGAGACCCTGCTGGCATTGCAAAAGATCAAGCATGAATATGTAATAGATCTTTCATTCACAAAACCGTGCTTTTTCGAGACAGAAATGTCTGTTGTTTAAGAAAACTAAATAATTTTTCCGAGTATGATAGTTCAAATATTTTGGAAAATACATAAGTCCGTAGTCATCTGGTATATACAGATCTGGAAACATCAAACGGATATGAAAAAAAGAAGAAGAATATATGCTATTATCATAGATCAATATGTTCCATCCAATGTTCCAAAAGTTCAGAACAATATCAGGGACCAGGTGAGTATCATATGGTATATTTTCTCAGTTTCTTTTTGGAATAAAACAAAATGTTTAGTGATCCTTTCAATTATTGATAACAATTGAATAGGACAGGGCAATGTTTGTTACAATTTTAAATGTCCTAGAAGAACAATATGTGGTTTTGTTGAAGAACAAAACGAAACAATGCGAATTTATTACAATAATTATCAACATAAATTGTGAGATACATCGATATTATATCAGAACAGAAAAGATTCAAATTCCTCAATAATATAAAAGAATTCTCTGCCTTGGAGTTCCTTACGTTTACACTTGATTGCATTGATTGGATATTTTTTGTAATACGTTCAGTATGATATTATTTTTTTCCTAGTGTTGTAAGAATGTGAGTCACTGCTAATGAGAAATAAATTTTGTTGTTGAAAATGTATGTCGAAATTTTCACCAAATAAATCAATGAATATTATTGGAGTTTGATTTAAAGACCTTTCTGTACGAATGCCGACTGATAATGTTAAAAATAAGCCTAATGATCCGTTTCTGAGCAGCAAAGATGCCTGACCCCATACAATAATGTTGTATAAAATTGTGGAATACACAAATGCATAGTAGGTAAACCTGTAATAATGAATCTGTGTTCAAAATATTTCGTAGCGTTGACAGAATGTAAAAACTTTCGTTGATTTTTTTACAGACCCTTTTCATTTGTTCCTCCCATGTTTAATTGCAATGAAGTGGATGTCTAAACGATAGTATTATTGATTTCGAAGGTAAAGTTAGAAGGTATTATATTTTTGGTATAAAACTCAATTACTACTGTTTTATTATGATTTATGCATGCAGTAATCTGCAAAATTTTTCAGAATCTTTCAGCAAACCTAAAGACACTACCGTTTTTTATATTATGAGGCTGGTCATTGATATAGGTTAGGAAACTCAAGGAATTTAAGCCACTTTCCTGTGGAGTTCCAAGATCTAAATCGTTTTCTTTTGATAGACAAAATTAAATATAGAAACTTCTCAAAAAATGTTCACAAATCAAAAAATACTAAAGCAAAACAACAACTCTTACTTTCTAAAAGAACATCTTCAATCAGCGGCCAGTTCCCACACGGTCACTCCAAAAGTTCGAAAAAGCTTCACGTGTCTTTCAACATTCCTTCAAATCGCTCCAGTCGCGTATTTTCTCGCCGCTTTCAGCTTTTCCAGCCGCTGAACCTGGAAAGCTACCGAAGAGAACTGAAACACGCTTCGAAATATTTCCCGGTTGATTTTCGAATGTTACGGACATGCGCAACTTGCAGAAAAGTTTATCTTATGCCTGCCAATGAAAACTTACACCTGGAGTTAGGGAAGGTTCCGGAAAACTGCCCAAATCCCTGATTGAGATCGTTCATCAGAAAAGTGGCGAAATAACTAAACAGAGTATTTGGAAGTTTCAAATTAAATAAAGTTTTTTTTGTTTGTTGGTTTGTCAAGATGTCTGTGAGAATAATTAAGGTTTTCCCAAGTCTAAAAACATGTGAAAAAAAACCTTTTTACTTTCCACTTTTACATCATTATATAGAAGTAGAAACTTCAGCAAAAAAAGAAGAAAATAATTAAACCCAGTGACACATACCTTGAAAATTGCCACAAAATGATTTTGCATACAAGTTTTTTCTAAGAATTCAGCAATGTTGAAACAAACTGAATGTTGATATTGATTCCTCTATATTTTTTCAACCCCCTCTATGATGTTCTTGTTATTGTTTTCAAGCCTAAGTGATAAATAATTGCGTGTGCATTGTGATGATAGTGACGGTTTGTAACATAACGAGTTGGAGCATCTAATTGAAATGTAAGTTTTGAAAACAATTATACCAGTCAGTTGAAAAAATAGGGTTACGTTCATACGTTACATATAACTACTGTATAAATCGGTAATAAATTATGTCCCAATTATTTGAAAATGATTTAACCAAAAACTATCTTACTTGAGGCAAATGATGAAGCACTAACTTACTGTTTTGTGAGCATGGTACATGGCAAAATACTTCATGAACATGAAAGGCCTCCAGACAAAATTTTCTGAATATTATGTAATAACAAATGGTGCTGTAAGGGCCGTTTTATAGGTTCGATTTCAACTATGATTGGAGTTCAAACTATTGATTTAACAAGTAGGGCGTTTTATAGGTTCCAATCGAGGAGAATTTTTTGATTAACCTCAGACGACTGTTAGTTAACGTAAACGATAGTTGGAGCAGTTAGCCATTGCCTGTAACTCGGCGTAGATTGATGTAGGTAAAATTAATTTATGTTGTTGATGTACTGCAGTACAGTCAACCCTTTAGTGTCTTATAATGATGAAAAATCATGTTTTCACAAGATTATGTAGATTTTCAGGTTTAGCAGTGGTTAAAGAGACTATCCAAATACTCCAAAAATTTTTTTTTGTATATACACGAGTATACTCCCACAAATAGGTACCTCTAAAGAGGTACCTACTTTTCCATGCATCAGGAAAACATGACGATGATTTTATTGATATATTCCAAGAATTTCTGTCAGATGAGGAAGGAGTAGGAGAATGTGGTAGGAGTCTCAAAAAGGCCCCGAATATTCAGGGAGACATCAGATCACGCTGCTGAACCGAATTGGGCATCTACTTGAAAGACCAACGAATCAGTTGAGTTTACATAATCACAACTCAAAGTATTAAACATTTTCTTAGGAATCACAGCTTGAGTTCCTAGAAAATGAAAGCTTTTCAACAATCAATAAAACTGCTTAATTGGAACCTATGAAACGGCGAAGTGCTGCAGGAGGTTCAAAATCGGTCCAAACTGGAGTTCAAACTAAAGTTTAAACTAGAGTTTCTATGAAACGGGCCCTAAGGACTTTTGCTGATCTTTTTTGCAACGATAATTCAACATAGACACTATAATATGGATACGTGCTACTGTATGTGTAGAGTAGGGAGGGTGAGTGTGACCCATTTTACATTCTCCCAAGGAGTTGTCCTCCTAGGTCATCGTCCATCCTGTCCTTTCCCGGAAAGTGGACAGGTCTCTGGGACACAACTCCTTCATATCAGCAAGTGTAGGCCAAGACTCGCCGAACACACACTCTATTATTGACGATAACTCCGGATATTCACATAGGACATGCTTGACAGTTTCATCTTCCAGTTCACACATCCTGCATAGAGGTGTGTCCACTAGCCTAAAATTGTGGAGGTGTTTCCTTAGTTGACAATGGCCAGTCAGAAATCATACAGTTAAGCCTAGATTTTTCCTGGTCATCGCCAGATATTTTTTCGACGCCAGCTTCCCAGGGTCGCCAAGGGTCATCTTCTTCTTCTTTTTCTTCTTCTTCTTTTTCTCTTCTTCTTTTTCAGTTGTTACAGTCAAATGTTCTTTCCCAAAGACCAGTCCATGTTATGACATCACTGTGTTTCAACAGGAAAATCTAGAATAAACAACATTCAGTATTACTGAATTGCTGCATCTCTCACATTACACCTTTTTTGCTATGCCACCTTGTATTACTAAAAATACATTTCTGTTTTGAGAAATTCCTGCTACGGTAACATCAACGTCACCTTCATAAAGCCAATCAAACTTCTTAATAAACTATCTTAGGCTTCCGCACTGATCTCTTGAAGGAAGAACACTGCCAGTATCCACTTATTTTCCATTAAGAGGAGGAACGGCTTCATTTTAAAGTCGTTTTCAAGTCATTCCAACTCCAATTCGTTCTCATTTTAAAGTTTTAAACTATTGTCGTTTCGCAGTTCGTAGTTGGCACTAGAGTGAATTATTTGGGGTGGAGATTCGATAACAGGTATTAATGAAAAATGTACGATGTGTGTTAAGAAAATGAAGCGAATTTTCATTTTTTATTCATCAATCTCTATTTTGAACCCTTCAAAGTGGCCTAAGCAACTTCTCTAATGGTGATTCGACGATTCTCCATAACAATTTTCTTCACTTTCTCAACATTTTCATCGGTAGTTGATGTGTTGAAGCGTTCAGGGCGAGCTTCGTTATTCACATATTTTCAACCTTCTGTGAAGAGTTTGTACCATTTGTTAACATTTCTCCGACTGAGTTAAATCACTGTCCACCTTAACGACGGCGGGTTGGCTTTCCTTGTTCATCTTTCACTGCCTGAACCACTGTGCATGCTGTTTTCGGCGAGTGCATTAGCTTGGGATGTGGGGGTTGAGCAAACCGGCCATCGGATGCCTGCTTCCACGTAGCCCCGCTGGATACGGAAGTGACATAATCACTTGTGGTTCTGTTATTCCCTAACTGAATGGCATTCCAACGATGGCTCAATCCTACGGTGTGTGTATCCGTGCAGAGAGGATGAATGACACTGAGCCTATTAGCTGTCTCTACGGAACCTTCGAGATACCGGGCGCCCTCTCTCGCCTTGTCACGGTAATGCGGGACTCTGCCGTGATTGACCTTCTTTCTCTAGCTACTTGTGGGACTTTCATGGACAGAGTAAACTCAAAAATTATTTGTGACGCTGAGTCTACAGAGGAGATTGACGTCGAGCTCACGGCTCCAACTGACGTCTCTTTGAATTTAGATCAGGAGCGAGAGCTTCTCAACTCTCCAACTCCTGATCCAATAACTGAACCTAAAAAAAAAGGTTTAGTGGTGCAGCCAGGAAACGACAGAGTCGTTTTCTCAAGATCGGGGTACCTTATGAAACCGCTTTGCACCAAATTCTTGAGCGGTGGACGCAGAATTTGTCTCAGGTGGAGGAACACACCCCCCATGAGCAGGTTAGCAATCGCTCAAGTGATGATTCACCAAAACCAGAGGTAAAAAACCCTGCACGGTTGAATCTATAGTATAACAATTTTCAATTGAAGGTAACTCATATACAAATTGAACTGAGAGCTAACGGCAACAATGTTAAATGTTATAACTAAATTCTTACCGGGGTCGTTTTTATTGTCTATGCATCGCCATTGTAAATAATTGAAAAGTGAAATGATTCCATAAAATTTTCCCCTCGTAACAAGATAGCTTCTGCATATCGATAGGATGTACGAGCGAAAAGGTGAACCAGTTCGTTAAATACTTTGAAATATTCGTAAACTGATCAACACTTCGCAGGTCTATTATATTTGCGTCCTTAAAATGCCATAACTAGTCATTATCAAGCGTCCTTATCTGCATAGGCGTAGTGTATTCTGTTTCTTGTGAAGGTGACTTTGTTTTATATTTATTAAATATATTGTATTATATTTACTAAATAGACTTACATTTATTAACTTCAAAATATAAGATAGAGTTGGCCGATACATGTTTTTCAAAATACATTATTATAGATTTTCATCACATTCACATGATGAGATAATCAGTTGACCTAGTCATTAAACTCAGGTATAACTGTCATTAATTAGTTCCTAGAATATTATTCGGTTCTAGGTAGATAGTAATATTCCAAAAAGTATATATAAATCACAATGTATGTAGAATTCAGTTTGTTAGTGAACACGCTTGAAAAATCTACTGTGCATCGAAACACGTGTTGCGGATTCGTTAATCTGTTCTAGTGAAAATCTCACAATAAAATGTTTTTCAAAATACATCAACTTTAAAATAGTTTTTGAGGCAAGTGAACAACTGACAAATAGCTGAATAATATGATTGAATTTCATTATTTTTTTAGTATTAAGATGGATGCCGTAGTAGGTCAAAGTAATGCACATAGAGAGCGGAAGTTTATGTCGTTAGAAGAAAAAGATTGTCTGTAGAGTGTACGAAAATTTAAAAAATACCCTCCGTACAGTGGAAGCTGTAGCCCAGGACAAAGGTAGTGGATGATGATCTCATTCCAAAAATGAGCAAAGAGAAGTTAAGGAAAATAATAAAAGAAGATTTAAAATTTATGTATGCCAAACGTTCCCGTAAATCTGTCTTAACAGAAAGAGAAGATATGGGAAAGAAAGTTTTTGGCTTTCTACTACTCCATCTTGAAAAAAGCCAAAAACTTTCTTTCCCGAAAATCAATCACTCCTAAAAATATAACCCCTTCAATTCAAAGAGAAGATATAGTCTCATGGCGACGGAGATATCTTCGCTCTATTAGAGAAATCCGTTCTGCTCACAAAAAAATTTATTACCTGGACGAAACGTGGGTGAATGCTGGTCAAACAGTATCTAAGATCTGGCAAGATACTACTGTAACTAGTTATCATCAAGCATTTGTG